TTAGTGTTGTTATGCTTTCAATAACGTCTGCTACTCCTGATCTTTTGCGTATAGTAGCATTGGGTATTCTATCACGTAGAGAAATCCCTAACATGATTCTCTCCATTGCTCTTTCCGCAACTTGTAGTTTACTCACTGTTGTTATTGTGAGCGTTAGGGTTTCCTGCGCCGTAGGTCATCACTGGCAAAATACATTGATTAAATACTTTTCTTTTCAGACACATTGGAATCTTATACCTAAAAATATCCTTCATCCTTCCAAATGCAGCCCAAGCGAGGTTTATTCTTCTTTTCAGCTCAATTGTTTGGTTGTCTCGACTTATTCTGATCTCATGGCCTAAGTATTTATAGGAGTCAACTGGCTCAATATCTTTGTCTTCTACTGAGATGTTTTTGTTGTGGACTAAATTTGTCATAAATTGTGTTTTTGAAAAATTTATTTTAAGACCAACTCTTTTTGTGGCATTATGGAGTTCTTGGAGCATTATCTGTGCCTGATCAAAGCTGTCTGCAATAAGAACGTACGTTCTTATTGTAGCAGGTACACAAGATGATAAATATAGTTCGATTAATATTCTGTTTAAACCACGGTATCCGATAAAACTAAGGTACCATGAACATCTACTAGTTTTACTAGTCCTAGCTTTAGCAGTAACTGTCCGTTCTGGAAGCACTTGAAGTCTGAGAAACCGATCTTTCACAGCTTTTGTGGCCCTTGGTCTTCTCTATTCAGGTTTCTGAATAATTTTGCGTACAGTGTATAATAAAAATCCTTAATAATTAAATGTAATATGAGTTAAATATAGTTTTTATTCACGATATATTTGCTTATTATCACAATTACCAACTTCCTCATTTGACAAAGTTTTCTATATCCTTGTATTGCCGCGAAATGTGGGCAATCGTATTATTCCTGATAAAAAAGTTGATAAACAATTTTTATTGGTTATATATAACGATTAGTAGTAGGAATTTACTTATATAAAGATAAAGATAAATTAAATGGTTTTCATATTATTTTATGATAACAGTATTATATTGTAATTATCTTCTCGAGTGTAACGTACATGTAAAATATTCTAAAAATTAATTGTTTGTAGAATTAATTATGATCAAACAAACCATCTAGAAAACTGAGTAATTGTATATATATTTTCATGTCAATTTATTGCCATCTGGCGACGGTGATACAAAGTATTGTTATATTTAGATTAAATTTTTCTATAAATTTGATATGCTCCCCTTCTAGACCTGGGTGGATCCGTTTTGAGGTGGATGTTAGAGGTCTAACCATTTCTGCAAAAATCCGAATGCTATTTCTCACATCTAAATTTAGTCATTTGTTCACAAATTCGCCCTGGTCCATTCGTCTGTCCCCAATTGTCATATATTCTTGCTTTCTCTCAAGTATTCTCGTCCTTTTCTTCAATTTTCTATGAACTGTTTCTCATATATATTAATACCTATTAATTTTGTGACAGTATTTCAGTTTCACTTCTACTTCTTAGGGTACCTGTCCGTTCCGAACGTTTGCAATCATTCTGGCTATGATGATTTTGTTGGTTGTTATACGGAATAGCTGTGTTGAGTGCTATTTCATATATTGTTGATTTCTTACTATCCTTCCCACAGAATGCTGTGAAGATTTCCAGGTGTACAATTTCCTTGGAGGAGCTTTAACTAGGTGTTTATTATTACTAATTGATTTGCTTCTATAAAGATCTCCAATGTATCTCTTCGATCGTTCCGGTTTCCTAGACCAAATGGTCTAACTGCAAATGATGTTTTGCTGGGCCCAACTTTGGCGTAAATGTCACCCATGACAATTGTTAGGACTTGCTTTTTCAACCTTTTCACCACTTGATTAATGCTACTTTATAGTTCTTCTACCTCTTCTTATGATTCTTCTGTTGGAGGTGTATACACTTGAATTATATTGATATCAATTGGTCTTGCTTTCAGTTGTATGATCATTACTCTTTCTGAGATTGAGATGAAGTTTTCAACAGATTATGCTACTTCTTTTGTCAATATTATGCCGACACCTAACTCATGTTTGCCGCTACTGGTTCCAGATTAGTAAACGCAGTGTTTCCCGGTATTTGCGGTTCCTAAAATTGGCCAATACATTTCGCTTATTCCCAGAATATTTAATTTCATGCATGCCATTTCTTGTATTGTATTATGGATTTAACCTTCCTGTGCCATGGGTTTTATGTTCCATGTGCCTATTCTGATGTCATCTTTGCATTTTAATCTTTTGTTATACTTGTAACTGCTTCTCCCGAAGATCTGATTGAGATGCTTACTCCGGAATTGAATTTCGCTGCAAGCATTTTAGGTATTTCCTAAAATTCCTGCCCAAACATTTCTTTTTTGAGGTATTTGGGAATGACTTTCACAAGAAATAGCAAGATTTGTGCATATGAAGAAAGTTATGTACAGAAGCTACGGAAAGATCTGTTAAAGCTGCTACTTTCCTGATGGATGTTTTTGGTTCCATACCAATTACTTCTATCTGTGTCTTTTCATCTAAAAATGTTTCCCCTTCTTCCTTTCGTATTCAAGACAGAACCTATTCTATAGTTTAGAAGTTGGAATTAAAATTTAAAATGTTAAGCAATTGTAAACACTTTATTTGGCTCTTTAATAACAAGTATCGAGATGTCAAATGTGTCCCATTTTTAGTGCAGGCATAATTAATGAATGTTTTGATCAAAAATCACTTGCACCACTGACCTCAATTGGGTTAACTGGTATTTCCTTTTTAGGATTAAATTGTTAAACTCATTCATCTGCAATGCCAAGCCTTTCTCTAATTACGTAATTTTTAACCAAGCTATTGATTCAGTCATTAAATTCACTGTCAATAGTGAATCATCAATTTTTTGTGGCGAATGATATTTACATTTAATATAAAAAAAAAGTAAATGTATTCCGCCCACGTGAGCAATAATAATAAATACAATGTTATTTATGTACATTTTCAACGAGATAACAATAGATAACTATTATAACTGGTATTATTAGAAAAATTAATAATATCAAATTTAATCAAGTAAATTAAAGAATGTAATCAGAAGCACATATTGTACTTTGAGTAAGATTTCTAAGGTGTCGTTACGTCAAAAATATTTTTAGATTTTAGTCATTTTTTAGTTCAGTTTAGTCATAAGATAGAGTAGTTTTCAACTATCCCCCTTCAATCTGCACAGAAAGGTATCAAGCCGCCGAACTATGTACGATCAGCAGGCTGTATGGTAGATGTGTCCTGGGCTTGACTCTGTTCCTGTACTCTTCTATTAACCCCTATGTGGACATTTGAAATAACAAAAATTGCCGAACAGCTAAATTTTGGTGGAGAGCTAGAGTATACCATAACAAATAAATTTTTCAAAGTCCCCATCGATTCCATGTGAGCAACAAAAGTTATTCGGGGTCAAAGGTCAAAATTTGAGATTTTATGGATTTTTATAGAAAACTATAAGTTTTATCAAAAAAAGCCTTAAACCGAAGTTGTAGATCTTAAAATTCTCTACAAAAATAGTACTTACTATTTTTTTTCCCAAGAGTTGCCATTCCTGAGATATCGCGAGTCACATTATACATGATAATATGCACACGTTTCCACACCAGCTGTGAGGTAGTGTACTCGGGGCGCTTTTTTTACTGTGGTTTCTCCTGTAGGGCTACTCCACCAACTGTTTTGACAATTATAGGATGGTTGTTCTATACAACAATACTGGTCAAGTTCTAGATATTACTTTATTATTGATATTGATTATTGATATTGCTATTGATTATTAGGTTAACTATTGTTTTGATTTCTTTAGATATTTTAATCAGATTCATATTCTTGAAAGTCTACTTCAACAGTCAAGTCTTTTTCGATTTCTTCTTTTTCTTCTTTCTCTTGCTGGATGTTAAAAAATTGTTCAAATGTTGAAAAGCAGATGCTGATGTTGGAGGAAGACATGATAGTTGTACTTGTTTCTTGTTTCGCGTATTTTTTACAAATGTTACTTATCGGCTAGGTATTGGCATCTTATCTTTTTCATCCAAATCTTTTTTCAGACCAGACTTGACTTAAAATATTTGTCAATAAAACAAATAAATGTTAATTTTCCAGGCTTTTCTGTAATAATAAGTCTACTACCAAACTTCAATTTTAATCGTATTTTTATAGTTCTGTCATCTAAAACTACATCTTGACAAACATTCCTTCATCATTCATCTAACGAAAATTGGCAACCATTACTCGTTTCTATGAAGTGAAACATTTTGTCCATCGCAGAGTTTACAGTTTCATCTTACGGACGGCCAATTTTACGACCAGTAATAGGTTTTAAGAAAGATTTATAAAAACTGTCATGGTATTCTGCATCTGTAGCGACTAAATCATACTCAAAATTAATACGTTCAACAACAGCCTTCAAAACATCATCAGAACGATCTTTAGCTAATTTCAACAGGGATTCTTTGAATTTTAGTGTAGTTACGTTACGAATTATTTTTCGAAGATGCTGTGCTTTCTTTTTCTCAGTTTCTTCATTAGCTCCATTGCCACAAAATAGACAGTAGTTTTTAAAACAAAAATGTGATTTACTTACTCGCGTTCTAGTATGAGGTGGACTTACTTTTGAAGTACTAGCCTGTTCATCCTCACGTTGTCTTTTAACTGCAGCGATTGAAGTTTTCCGAATGTATGATTTTCTGCAATCCACGTGTGTTGTAACGGATTTTTGAGTTCTTAAATACTCAATAAACCCATCACCTCTCGCGACACTAGCCTCAATTAAATTTGGCATTCCACAATCAACCACAACTGATTTAGTTTCACTTAAAGGTTTATTGCGAATAAAGCAAATCTGAGACATATTTAAAACTATAAAATTGTACAAATAACGGTAACGGTACTAAATGGTAGACACTTGTAATGTAGAGTCAAGTGAATATAAGTCTAGAATTGTAGACTTATATTCACTTGACTCCGAGAAATAATGGGGGTTACACTTAATATTGTTGATGACATCAAAACGACACAACTTGGATGGTACGGACACGTAAGGAGAATGCCGGAGAATAGAATACCAAGAAAAATTCTTGAATGGCAACCAAGAGGTAGGCGGAGACCAGGAAGGCCTAGAAGATGTTGGAGAGAAGAAGTTGATAAAGAAATCAGGGAAAGAGAACTGGAGGACGATCTATGGAACGATAGAATGAGATGAACCTGTAGCACTAAACGAAACAGATAATATGAACAAGTCCTACGGACAATACTGTAGCCATTGCTTACAATAGACAATCTGTTCTTTTTTAAACAATGTCATAGCCAAATATTTTTCAAGGCCACGTGGATAGCGGAAATTCAGTTTGGGACTGATTATCTTTTTTGGAACAGAAGCTGTCTTATTATTCTTACATATACTGCTCTCAGAACTTTTCTTTCCCAGATCTCTAGAAAACGAAAAAACCAAACTCAAACATCTTGAGACATAGATAAAACGTATGCTACTGGAAAAATACAATAAACCATATTATATTTCTAAGAATTTAAAATGTGGCATCATTTTATCGACGTAAGCTTCCTGTGTTGGGATATCTTTTAGCAATCTAACGTTTTATATAGCGTGTCTTCATTAATATGCAAAAGAAAGAATAGATGGGCGTGAGGCTATGTTTAAAAATTAGAGGAAATGATGTAATCGTTATAAAATGTTTTCTTACCTGGTATGTTAGAAAATTTAAGGTAGAAACTTAAAAGAAAATGTCAGAAACCATTTTAGTGGATTATGTTTAATAAAGTGAACGAAACAGCGGTGTCATATTTCTTCAAACTATAATAATAGCACTATAATCATATTTAAAAAGCAGAAAAAAAGCATAATAATTTTGATGACCAAAGATGTGTAAATATGAGAGCAGAAAGACTTCCAAAGGATCTAACGCAAACAATGTATATTCATAACTGAAGATATTTATATAATGACATAACAAAATGGGAATTACTGAGAGTATTTAAACGCTTTAAGATGAAAACAAAGCAACATGAACTGCTTATTAATGGATAGGAACACCCAGACCCAGATGCAAGCCTAAAGTAACTTTCCATGTGGACAGTGGAAAAACATATTGGACCCATCCACTAGACCTGTACATGTACAAGTTGTATAATTATTATGACGCCATCTCGCCTTGACATGTCATTACTCTTATGTTCTATGGACAATAATAGATTTATTCATCTATAATTGTCCACTGCAAACATTTTGTCTTCTACTTTCTTGATGTGGTTCGCATAATTATGCCTTCACTTTTTAGGTAATCTTCCTCGAAGAAAAATGTTCTTTTCCATTAGTGAATCATTGATTTGCCTTTTGTCACAATTTTTTCAGGAAATCAAATTAGCAGGAGTGGTATGACGCGTTATCCAAAACGACAACCTTTTCTTTGTCTTTCGGAAAGTTTGGAATTAACGTCTTCTCAAACCATTCTTCATATAGATCCCCGTCCATTTCATCATGGTAATCAGCGGTTTCCTTTTTGGCCAAGAACAAGAAAGTTAATTCGGCCCATACCACAATACCAATTTCGCTTCCAGCATGAAGAAGAACAAACCGAGGACATCTTTGTGTTGGAGATTACAGTCCAGTAGAGAGCCCTTTGTGAAGGCATCTCGTGGATTCTTGATGGTTGTATCTCTTCATTTCTTTTTGACTCATATGAAACATATTCAAAATCCATGTCATTTAGTAGCCTAGAGAATGTGATTTTTTAAAAATCTAGTAGGTCCTCAGTATCCTTCACTCTGTTCATTATGCTATTCTATTATAGTTAAATCTGCATCATACACCTTGACCAAATAATGAAACAATCTAGATCTGTTTATCTTATAGACAAGGTCTTTTTTCAAGACTGTATCATTTCAAGACTCTTTTTATCGTGAATTTCTTTGAAAAGTTGTTTTCCATTGCTTGTTAAATTTTCCTCATTATTTTTCCTATTTTTCTTTCCATTGCCATGCAGATTTGGTTTCCTTACAGTTGGATGTCTCTGGGTATCATCTCTTGTACTTAAATTTGTTGGATGTTGTTCAAGGTCTGCTACCCTCATTACACGATTTTGTCCTATCTTCCGTGTTAGCTAGCTTCATTGTTTTATTCAAGTTAATTTTATGTACTGTGCTTATGACCTGTTGTGATATGGATGACGTTTTTGTTTATTTCGAGGGTTTTCGATTTTCTCCTGGCTTAATCTATATTCTTTGATTGGTCTATTGAGATCTTGTATATTCCTTGATTTTTTACACAAAAATTGCATTGGATTTTAATGTTCTCATTCGTTATATCACAAATGTTATAATAAATAAAATTGAACAGCACAAAATTTGCTTATTTGGGAATAATTTTCTCCACTCTTGTATGTAATAAGTTTATTTTCCGCTTTTTATAAGAATGTGTTACAATTGCCATGTCTACTGCTACTGCTTCTTCCAAAGTATCATCTCCAGCATGATTTCTAGCTCAAAAGTCTGTATTTATTTTAACAAATCGTTTAATTATAAATATAAATTTTAACATATACTTAAATGTTAGTATCTAATTCCTATAAATAACTTTTATTGTTAATGTTAATTAAAAACATTAGGAGTTCAAGGTCGGCTAACAAAGTAATGAGTTTTAAGGTTTTTCCTGCCGAACATAAGTTAGAATGATTTATGAGGTCATATTTTCAGATGTTTTGAGATAAATGTGTGAACAAAAAATATCCTAGTCATTAAAAAATATTTTAATGACAAATTTACCAAAACGCACTGATTAAATATGTCGAAAAGAAGATTTTTAAATGAATTTAAAGAATGATTTTGATAATGAAAATCATTCTATTGTGTGGACTTAAACGGTCCTTCCTGATTTAAAAGTTTCGCTTTACCTTTACTTGAAACGTTTGGAATAAAAGATATAAAGGAGAGTTCTTTGGTTCACTAAAATATACTTATCCTACATATAATATGTAAAACATTTTCTTTTCTTCCATTATTCGGTTCATTAGAATAGGAAGGGTATTATCGATGATATTTTCGCCATTTTTGTCGTGCTCTCTTGTGCTTTATAAGTCAACGTCCTTTTTATCCCAAATTTAACAAGGTTTGGTTGAATCTCATATTCGATGTTTTTCACGAGTCACTTGAATTACGTAAAGTGTTGACAAATACATAGAAAAATGCACAAGAATCGATACAGTGATCAAACTTACCACCGGATTATGGTCAAGACTCTTTACTTACTGAATTGACTTACTATTCTCCTCCATTCTTTCTTTCCAAGCACCAATTCCCTCTTTCCTAAGATCTTCCAGTACGCTACCATCTTTGTCTGGCTAGTCCTTTCGTTCTGATCGTGATTGGGCTTCGTTTTAGGTTCGTCTTTGGCATCCACTTCCTTTCCATTCTTATGACGTGCCGCAGTGTGTTGGGCCCGGTCCTATAGCTACTACATACGTATGATATGCCTGTACTGGAAGACAATACAGTTGCCACATTTGCTGATGATACAGCTATCCAAGCAGTAGGAATGACTAGTGAAGAAGCGACCAACAGGTCCAAATGGCGGTTAATCAAATCCATAAATGGACACAAAAATGGAGAATCAGGCTGAGTGAAGCTAAATCTGTCCATGTTAATTTCACCAACAAAAAATACTATATTTACCAGTTATAATCAATAATATCCAAGCACCATATGCAGATACTGCTAATTATTTGGGCTGAGTATTAGATGCAAAGCTACGCTGGAAAGCTCATGTTAAGAAAAAAAAGGAAGAACTAAATATAAGGTACAAAAAAATGTATTGGCTAGTTGGAAAAAACTTCACACTGTCGATGCATGATAAGTTATTACTTTACAAACAAATATTGAGACCTGTACGGACTTATGGATGCCCACTATGGAGGTGTACTAGACCAAGTAATATAACAATAATACAAAGATTCCAAAATAAAATACTGAAAAATATTGTAGATGCTCCTTGGTATGTGACAAACAGTGACCTCTATAAGGACCTAGGAATGAAAACTGTGGACATAATTGTGGCTCGAATATTGAGGCAATCGAGTTCCCCGATACTACTGGGCAAACTAGAAGATTGAACAGGACAAAGCCTGTTGAACTAGTTTGAGTAATAGGTGATAGTAAAAAGCAGATAAAGTGCCTGATCCTTGTTACTCTATATGCCTTTATGACGCGACTGATGATTGGTTTGTTATAAAGTTCCTCTAGCTCCCTGCTTGATGGTCATACCCAACCAAGGAGCATGTTTCTTTCTCATCTTTCCAATTTCCTTTTTTCATTGTCTATACTTCACCACCATACGTCACTGTGAGCCTTATTACCGTCTTATATACCCTTAATTTTATTTTTCTCGATACATAAGAGTATTTGGATTCCATCAGTGATCTTAGGCTTTTCATCTTTTTATTTTTCTTTGACAACGTTATTTGACTTCAACTTAAAGGAAACTTTGTAACACAACAAATTTGATTTTATTTTCCATTTGACTGCGCCATGTTGTATTATTATTTAACCGACGTAGGCTTTTTTATATTTTTATTAACTCTAATTTGGAGAATATTACACTTAGAAACAATTTATCTATTACATATACTGTTTTATATTATATTATAATTCGGTTTTGTCTATACTTAATACCATTTCCACTACTATTTTCAGTACTAATCTATTTCGCATTTCGCAAATATTCGTCATTCTTGGTGACACGAAAATACCTACTTTCCAAAGGCAACGAATAATAGATGTATACAACGTATTTCTTTTGTTTCCACCGTAAACACGTCTCGAAAAAAAAAACACAAATGACAAACGCATCTGAAAAAGAGGAAAAAACAATAGAGTAAAGGAGGCGTATAGTAATTACCGCCTAATCTCCTAATGCACCATATCAAACGCATGACGTGTTTTGTCGCTAATTACAAATGTCGATGTCAGGAGAAAATTAAACCATGCCAAGATTTTGTTGGATTTCTTATCACTTTTTACTGTTCCTAGAAAGTCATAAATGTGTTTAAATACTACCTTGTTATCATTTAACTTTCTTGAAAACTGATGTAAGCACCTAAATATAACACATTAGTTACAGTCCTATACTTTCGTTTTATTAAAATCTTTGGACCTCACGTTTATTTATTTTAATTATTTACAAGCTATATTGTAGTTGTCCTGACGAACTTTTCGTCATCCATGCGTGTGCTGTGGTGCCAGCTTAATATGGGTCTGAAACCATTTTCTAATGATATTTCTATGTTATCTACTGTATTTAATAAGAATAAGCTGTAATTTTAATTGAAAATATGTTTGAGATAGCAGTCGAAATTTCAAATATGGCGTATTTTTCAAATTGATGTAAAATTGTTGCTAACATCCATTAAATAGAAAAGATCATACGAATTCTACTTAAGTGACTAAAAAATATGATAATCATTTAAATATTTAATTTGTAAAACTGCATATCCTTCAAAAATGCAAACCCACACGAAAAATGTGAATATATTAATAAAAATACTTAAAAAATTATGAATCATCGTGACAATCTGGTAATAAATTTAATAAAAAAAACATTTATACACCAGACAATGATGAACTCATAGAAATACTCCTTTGACTAATACTTATTAGCATATTTTAATAAAAAAAATTGATTACGTTAAAAAATTAATTATTATAATACAAGGCTATCAGTGATTGGATTTTGTCAACCAGATTAATTGCAAATACTGCAACGGAAATGTACCCAAATCGCTGACCCAATCAGGCTCCGAAAAGCTCTTATGTATCATTAAGTATATCGCTAAAGTCTTAATAATATTCCATGATCATGATGCCACAAGGTTAAAAAGCTAAAAAGAGTCACAATTTGGTGATAAAGCACTGGTGTCATCATCATCATTCTAGTTTTACAACCCTATGTGGTTGTATTTTTACTCGCTTAAATTTTAAGCAGATTTGTTGGGTTACGCTTGGCCATACAGCATCTTAAGTACGCCAGTTTTTGGTTTACTGTTAAACACTCACAATGTGTTTAACAGTAACCTTGGTTTCGAACACTACAATTTACTGCTTATCATCAGGTTCCCAACAAAGTTACTTAACAGCTAAAAGAAAATTGCACTTGTTAAAAATTACGAGTGTATTTGATTGAGTACGGAAAAACTTTTTCACGCAGTTTTTTTAATGATCGCCAATATTCTTTAAATTATGTTTTCTTTTTTTTTAGCTGAACGTAAAACATCCCTTGGTAAGGACTGGCATTCAGCGTGCCTTCGCTGCGAAAAATGTAACAAGACCTTAACCCCCGGTAACCACGCAGAGCACGAAGGAAAGCCTTACTGCAACAACCCCTGCTACTCAGCCTTGTTTGGGCCCGGAGGTTTTGGACGTGGAGGAGCTGAAAGTTATGTCTACAAGAAGTAAATCGGGAGTTATAGATTTTAAGAGCATTTTTATAATAATAGTATTATATTTTTTTCTTCTATAAATTTCTGAATGGGTACAATATGTTGTCAAAGCATTCCATGTTTTTGAGTATTCTTGTTTTCGGGAATAAAATTTTATTTTAGTTTTAATCCTTGTTTTTCCTTGTTCTTTATTAAGTGAATTAAACGTTATGATCCAGAAATTTTATCAACGATCAAACGAAGAAAACTCGAATATTTGTGTCACCTGATGAGAGGACATAAATACGCATTACTTCAAATATAATGCAATGAAAAATAGAAGGAAAACGGAATCCAGGTCGTAGAAGAATGTCATGGTTGCGTAATTTAAGAGAGTAGTTTGGCTGTACCACTAATGAACTTTTTAGGTCAGCTGTAAACAAGATCAGCTAGATCAGCAAGATCAGATAAAACTTTTTCTTAAAATTATACATCGCAGAATATACAAGCTATGCGAAGAGAGAATACAAGACAAACAGTTTGGGTTCATGAAAGGCGTAGGTACGAGAGATGCACTGTTTAGTCTACAGATATTATTCCAAAGATATGACTTGCGATATCTACACCTGCTTTGTGGACTACCAAAAAGCATTTGACACAGTTCCAACACCGAACAATGATGATTATTTTAGTAAAAGCCCAAATATATAATAAAGACCGGGGTATAATACAAAATTTATACTGGTGCCAATCAGCTACAATAAGAACAAATCTTGGAGATGAACCGACGGAAGCCATTCAGATTCTGCGAGGCGTTAGACAAGGATGTTAACTTTCACCTATATTATTCAACAGAAGCTAAGCGAAAAAAATGCAGATAGTCGAGAGCTACACTAGGGGCCAAAATTCTAGAAACTTTACAAAAATTATTGATTTTCAGCAACACTCGTCACATGATTGCCATTTATGTAGTTTTTCAATACAATACAGATTCAATTAAACGCCGAAATTTCGAGATTTGTGAATGGCCACACTGGTAATACTGTATCACGTCAGAGTTTCGCTAGTCAGTCAACGACCAGTGGCGTGATTCAGTCGTCAAATTGGAAGCGTTTAGTACAGTTTCCTGCAACTGCCAGTATTTATTAGTGACTTCAGTTTGTTGTTACTATGTAAGATGATAATTCATTGTCGATTCAACGAAATTGGCTCTCTGAAGTCCAAAATTTGTTGACTGGCTACCAGGAAAGAGGGCCAAGTCATTGAAACATTAAAAGTTAGAAAACTGGAATATCTTGGTCATATTTTAAGGGGCGAGAAATATGAAATGTTAAAGGCTTGTATTATGCCTAAGATCATGTAAGGGAAGATCCAAGGTAGTTTGAAGAAGGATTTTTTGGCGAGAAACCTTCGAGAATGGTATAATTGCAGCTCAATTGATCGCTTCAGAGCACCTACAAATAAAGTAAGGATAGCAATGATGATAACCAACCTTCGATAGGAGTAGGAACCACAAGAAAAGTATACGGGACAAAAATTTACAAATTCTTACATCACACAACTCAAATGTTATTATCACAGTTTAAGACTTGACTCAGAAAAGTCTTATACGAAGAGAGAAAGTCAATCTCACAAAAGTATGAAGACCATAAGTGCTATGAAGAGATCTCTTTTTTATGAATTAAGAGTAACTAGTGAGATATTAAATTACAACCTCAGAAAGAGTCAGTATATTAAGGATATTTAGGCTATTTGAAGGTTACATGTTTCAAAAATGTGTGTTCGATCGATCAATTGAACTTGGACATTATAAAATGGTGACCAAATTCTAGAAGCATATTCCAGGTGAGAATGAACACGAGAACAATAAAGCATTTTTAAAACTGATAAGTAAATAGTAATCTTAAGTGTTTTTTAGTAAAACCCAGCATCCGAAAGCCTTATTGACAGTATTATTCAAAAACTGTGAACACTATAGTTGCACTCCCATCCTTGACAGGACCAATGTTTTCAAGAGAGCAGTGATTGATCATACACTGAAAATTAATTCGACTTTTGAATTTGAAAAAGTTCATGACATCAGCAAAGAGCAGATGGTAACTGTCAGGTAACTTTGGAGGAAAATGGTCCAAGGTGAGACCCTTGTTGCACACTAAAGATTGTCGATTTTAATAATCTCTTTACGCCATTTTAAGTAACTCTTAAAGCAACATAGCAGGTGATTCACCAATTTTAATCCTCAAGAACTTATGAAGTATCCTTCCACCTTCTCTCCAGTGCATCTGATAGCAAGTCTGTAAGTGTTAGTAGATTTAACTCGGTAAATCTTTGAAGTCTTGGTCCAAATTGGGGGACAATTAAAAGAAGCTCAAGCAGCAAACTCTTATAAACCTTAGAGATTTATACTTTTGTACAAAATGATAATTTAATAGTCATTCAAATTCAAACACTGAAGGACACTGTACAAATAAAAGTTACGTCAAAATACCAGATCTTAAATAATCATACTGCATTAATAATTGAACAAAATCTCTGACATATCAGCATAGCAATAGTAGAGGTAGAAATATCAGTAATAGATCTATAATACCAGCTATAATATCTAGAGCATACATTGTCAACCAAACAGTAGAAATATGCTCCTAAAACTTTAGACAGAAATATAAATACAGAAACGCGAAATATGACCAATGAAACTAAGGGTAAGGAACTATTCAGCCATGAGAGCAAACACAGCAACATATCTTAGTACCTACTGAACAACTCATCTATTGCTCCTGTGATCCAAAAAAACTACTAAGAAAAAAGTAAAATTTTTTCAGCTATAATTTTTGTAGATTCACTTTGTCACCATAGGCAGGTTAATTTGGTAATAATTATTATTAAGAAGAAATGGAATTAATATTTTATCTCTCTTGCTACTAGCTGGTTTTTCGAGATCTTTTCGGTGCATCTAGTTATGTTTCCATCTTCGCATTGAAATCACCACCCATTATAGTGAAGCGCAGAGTTCTTTCTAATTATTTAGAACACATTTTTGTAGAAATTGTCTATTTATTTGTCATAGGGGATTGATTCTGGAGCATAGATTTAGTGGAATATACTAAATACATAAAACTCAATCCCAAACAACTGTAGTTGTAGAAAAGCGAAATGAGATTTTTCATTAGAAGGTCCTTAATGTTATGTATATAAAAATACTAAAATTCTTTGTTATCTTATATTTACAATGTAATTATTATAATCGAAGTTAAAAGAAAAATGTTTTAATTTATTATAGTCATTCTACTTCATCTAGATAGACAACCAGTCATACACTTCGTTGTGTAAGTTGCATATGCTTTTCAGCTTATAGGTAGAAAAATCTTATGAGATCAGAAAATGTAAATGATGGATTTACAAATTTTAACATGAATGGAATTATTTACTGAACTTTATATTACTAAAACGCATCCAAGTATTATAAATAAAACACTTTGGTGAAATATTTGGAAAATGTTAAAAATATTCTCTTACTTTAAAAAATGTGCTAATGTGCTTAGCTGTATACTCAACTGATCCGTTTGATTAACTGGGTGAATATCTCTTATTAAAAACCTAGAAAATAACACGAGAATCAAACATATAGAACTAAAATATAATTATTTTGTTGTGATACTTTCAATTGTAATTCTTATGTAAATACAAAATTTCAGTTGGCAGGAATGTTAAAAAAAGGGCTTCATACAATACTTACAGTTTTGCAATAATTGAGATAATTTAGGATTGTATTCGGTACATAATCGGTACCATTAAAATCAAGATGGCAAAAAACAAAATCACGCCAAACACCAACAGACCAATACACAATCTAGACAAAGTAAAAACGGCTCCACGAGGACACATGTTTAGGGAGGAACTCCAACTCAAAACAAGAGAACGTGAAGTAAATAGCTAGGAAGATTTTGCAGATGTTTTGGCAGAAATAGATGAAGATAAATGGAGTAAAAAAGAGAAACATAGAAAAGAATGGATCTGACATCCATTCTTTTGAAACTTGGAATCTTTTCGAGGAAAAAAACAGCAAAAGACAGATATTTTGCAAGCAAGAACTTTAGAAGAAAGAGCGAACCGACAACAAGAATATGAAAAATACATATACCTACTTATGATAACAACTTACTACTACTAATTATGATTTACTGAAATAATAATTAAAGCAGTTAATAAAATGCAAGAAGAGACAAAAAAAGATGGGCTGAAGAACTGACAAAACAAGCTAAAACAGCTGCGCAATACAACAGAAATAGAGAGCTATACCAAATTACTAGACGACTTACAAAAAAGGCTCAACTGTTCAAACACTAGAATATCCAAGACAGGCGAATTACTTACTAATGACAGGAAGAAAGAGCATTACTAAGAAATGGAAAGAGCATTTTCGGGAGATGCTAGGCACGCCCAGGGAAAACGCAGATGAAATTGTCAAAAACTTGCGTATATCTTGCGAGGCCCCTTCCAAAACGGAGATAATAACAGATATCAAATCTCTGAGAAATACTAAGTCTCCAGGAATCGATAACATTTCTGCCATTCCGATGGATGGAGCGATGGGCGTATTTCTCTTGAATATCCTTAGGGATATTCGAAGAATTTCTCCCCTCGTTCCTTCCAGCAGTATGGTGTTGCTTAACGTCCTGGTTTTAGTAAGATTATGACGTTACATTCCAAACTGGAATGGGGTAACATTATTAAGCTTCCAAAAAAGGGCAACCTCACATTGTGCAAAAATTGGAGAGGAATAGAATCCTAATACATGGACCACATTAATGCTGAGGATAATAATGGAACATTCGGTTGAATAGAACACACCCCTGTGTGTTGTGTACCTGATTTTATTGACTTCTAGCGTGTCTTTGATAGCTTATCTCATGCTGCTTTATGGAAAATTTTAGAGCTAAGAAGCTCAAACGGAGCTTTCTCCGTTTCTTTTTAACCTAGCAGTAATGTTTAACGTTTTCTCCAAACTAAACTCCGACACAAGAGGGATACAATGGACGTTAACCACATGCCTAAGCGATCTGGAATACGCTGACGATATCTGCCTGTTAGGAAATTCGAAACACTTTCCACTGAAGTTAATAAAGTAGGTTTGAAAATCAATATTATTAAAACCAAATCCATGAGAGTAAATGCAAGAAACAACACGTTATTTACTATCAATAACATGCAGATTGAAAATGTGGAAATCTTTCCGTATCTTGGAAGTGTCTTAACAGAAAGCGGAAGTACAGAGGATGATTATCGTGTGAGGATACGAAAAGCTCAACAAGCGTTGCGCATGCTCAACCCTGTTTGGAGATCTGGTGAGTATATTACAAGGACAAAGATTCGAATATTCCGATCAAATGTCATGTCTGTTCTACTCGACGGATATGAAACCTGGAAAGTGACAAACACCCTCACAGACAAACTGCAGGTCTTTGTTAACAAATGTCTATGGTGAATTTTTTGTATTTTCTGGCCTAATATCATCAAAAATGAAGATATACTACACCCGACCGAACAAAAAAAAGGGTAGAACATCAAATAAAATCCAGAAAGTGAGGTTAGATTGGTCACACACTCAGAAAAAATAATTCCAGTATTGCAAAGATTGCCCTAGAGTGGAATCCACAAGGAAGAAGAAAAAAAAAGGTGTCCCAGTACAAACTTGGAGAAGATCCATCATGGACGAGATAAAGGTCAAGGAAAGTCTTGGAATTAAATGAAGGCCTTAGCGCAAAATAGAACCCGATGGCGCGTTTTCATTGAAGCTTTATACTCTACTTAGAAGTAATATTAATAATATAA